ACAAATTCTGGATCCTGATCCTGAGATGAGTTAAGGCAGATTTTGACTTTCTGATTATTTATTTATTTACATCAGGATTGAAACCAATCCCAAATTTGTATGAACCTTCCAGGGAGGACTCAGGCTAATGATTATGCAAAATCCAAGACTGAAAAGATATGGAAGAGATGAAAATGCACTGCTTGAATTACAGGGCAAATTACTGTGTTTATTTTAACAGGGGAGATTAGAGAATACATGTTTATGAATCCAAAACATTATAGAAAAAGCAACTAACGTCTTGATAATTGCCCCACCACACCTTGAAGACTCTTGTTCCAAGTGCATCTGTTCAGCAGATTCCTCTGGATTCCCACATCCCCTGTTTGATGCACAAAGCACCTTCTAACTTTCAATCACAGAATTAGGTTATGAAATTGCCTAATTGTGTTCAGGACAGACACAGGCTCCAAATTAACGGAACTGGCAAGTCACTTTAAAAAGTAAAGTTTTCTATTCAGCTGTGTTGATTGTTATGCCAGTGCTCATTGGCTTTAATGATTTTAGCTTTCCAGCACTTGTGCTTTCCAGCACTTGCGCTTTCCACTTTGTCTAGATATTTTCCTTTCAGAGATTTTTGATTAAAGTTCAAAATACAGCATTATGAAATTGCCTGGTTCATGTGTTACCACTTCATCCATTTTTACTAACCTTTTCCACTTGTTTGTGTACCAATGTTCAAACTTCCCTGAAGCTGTATTTCTGATTATCAAGTTTCTTAGGCTTTCTTCATGCTTTACAGCAAACTACAGAGAGGAGGAAAATAGTGCTTAAGAAAGAAGCTGATAATTAATGAGACTGGACAAATTAAAAGCATAAGCTAAGTATGTATTTTTATGGTGGGGAAATAACTCTAAGCATATATGATTAAATCTACGTCCTAACGTTAGATGTACTGAAATTTAGTGAAGTGTGTTGAGTTTGTCCTGACAATTTACTGGCCTACACAAAACTCATATAACTTGGTATAAGTTTATTTTAATGAGGGAAAAACTTCGCCACCAGTAACAGCAAAAAGCAATGATGACCTCTCTGCTGTGTAATTTGTGAATGAACGAGGAGATACAGGTGCCATGGATCTAGAAGGAAGGAAGTGAGGCTTCCACAAGCTTTAAAAAAAGAAACTCTAACTGTGTACATAACAAGATACTGATCTTGTTATTGCATAGCCATCCCAGGCCATGTCAGGTAAACCTCGTAGTATTTGCTGTGTAGGTTCACTATCAAATGCAGCAGCAGGTGGGGAAACAGCTATTTGGAAGCTGGAAAGTGACTCTGGTTGAGAAAAGCCATTCTATTTTAAAAGAAATAAAAAAATAAAAAAGTAGAATAATTTATCTGGAAATAGTGTGAGAGTAGGAAATTATTTAACACTTCTTACATTTTTAAGGTGACTTTTCACAGCTTCTTAATAAACCCAGTACTTACAGTACTGTCGTTATCTCTGAATATCTAAAAAATGTATTTGGTAAATATAGTGGTAAACTATTTCCTACTAAATAAAAAGATAAGATGCAAATAGAAGAGAAGAAAAAGTAAGCTGAATGCAAATGACTTGAGAATTTCAGTAACTTGCAAGAAGTCTCCTTGTCGTCATCATTCAACATCATTTAGCATCATTCAACAAAATTTGAAGCATCTGTCAAGGAAGACATGACTAGAGAGCTCTATAAAAATAAAAGTGTCAGAAATGTCAGAGTTCAGGATACAAGCTAAACTTGCAGTTCACTTCAGACTTTGGGGAAAGTACCTTTACAGGTGTGCAAAACTTAGTTTTACATTCTAAAATGGGTTTAATGGTAGTTGGCTATATACTAGCTTTATTACGTTGACAGTGACTTTTGATAATAAGCTGTTGATTTTTCAGCTCAGTTTCAGAATAGGAATGATAACCATAGCTGTGTTATTTTCAAAGAATGAAAAATAAACTTTTTTTGTTTTGCTCAGGGTTAGCAGAGGGAGAGGCTGGAGCTAACTAAATACACCTCTAGTGCTGAATTTTGTTTTTGTTCTTCTGATTATTGAATTATACTGTAACTCACTTTATTGTGATTTTTTTCCATTACTTTCATAGAAATTTGCTATTGAGTTTTCCCATCCAAAATGATGATATTATCTTTCTAATATCTTCGGACCAATTATTCCCAAATGTAGTTTTATGTCAGGATTTTTGTCCTGGGAGAGAGAAGGGAAGGGAAGAACAACACCAAGAAGATAGTCTCTGGGAACCGTTCACACAGATCTCATTGGACTTCATGGGTTGCATAACTCGATAATAAGCTTTGTACTAGCTTTGTCCCAATATTTTGAAGGAAGATACTATGTTATGGGGTAAATTAAATACATTGTCAAATAATTCATGGATATGCCAAAACCAAACATGTGGCTGGGGTCTGCTAGACACAGGGAGGAAGATCTATGTTTACGTGTATGAGGCCGAGACGGAGAAGCTGCTGTATCCATGAACGTTTGTTGCAGTCTTTGGCCAGCCTGGGCAGTAAAATTAGGCATTTATATAATAAAGAATTTACTGCAGATGTGCTGATGCTGCCTCGTTGCTCCAGCTTTACTTTTGCAATGCCTGCCATGAGCTGCAGATGGCAGGGTCAGATCAAGATCTTGAACATCCCTGGGCGATGCGGTGGCTTCAGGCAGCTGTGTTCTTTTCTAAACTTCCTCTTATTTCTTGATACGTTAAATGGGGACAGCATTGCAGGAATTATCTTGCTTGCAAGGACTAAACTGGAGAGCTTGAAATGATCCCCTTTTTCATTTTGGTGCTAAATCCTGCCTTTCGTATAAAAATATTTGACACAGGCTAAATGGCTAAATTCCATTGTGAACGGGTGGTAAGCCCTGTCCCCCGTGCAGGTGTGAGGGTGATACCTGTGTGTTCACCCGGCGCCGGCTCGTGGAACGCTCCGTGTTGTGACGTTTCCTCCATAGCAATGCTCGGATGTGGACGCAGGCCCGGGAATGTCGCTGTGCAGAGCTGGAATCTGTGCTCCGTCTCTTGGAAGGCACAGCCGCGAGCGGGGCGTTTCGATGGCACGCTCACGAGCAGAGGAAGTTGGATCTCAGCTCCTTGGATGTTTTCCAGGGGATCTGTCTGGAAGGATTCTTGTGACTTATGGGTTACAGGAGTGTTTTGGAAACAGCAATTGATCTGAAGTGTTTTGCAGCCTCCACGCTGACAGCTACAACAGCAGACGGAACTAAGGGCCCTTTTCTGCCTCAGCACGAGGTTAAGTGGTCCTGCAGAAGTTGCCACTAGGGTGCTTTGAAACGAGTTTATCTCAAGGGGGCACGAGCAGCAGTGAAGCATCTGGCTGGGGAGCAAGTTTCCGAAGTGGAAGGTGCAGTTTGAGAGGCTGAAAGGCTCGAGCTGCCGCAGGCTGAGATTGCTGCGGGCAGCACCAAGCGTGGGGCTCACAGCCCGGCTGTGGTGAAGGGGCCCCTGGTTTATGGAAAAGCTGCTGCTTTCATGGACCGTGCCGTGGCCAACTTCACCCTACTCGTGTTGGGATCCAGGTTTTGTTGTGATGCTTTCACTAGGACAGCTACAGGCTCCTCCCCATGTTTTTCATTCAGTGTCTCAGTTGAGAGAAGGCAGAGGACTTTAAAGAAAATCAACGAACAAAATGCCAGTGAGACAGAAAGAGCAATGCTCTGCCAAGCCTGGCTGCAGCAAAGGATGGAAATCATCCAGAAGCAGAGATGGAAAGTCTCAGCAAAAGGAGGCTCAAAGAGACAGTTGGGCCAAAAGGAGGCACATGAGCAGAAAATGGGAGTGACCAGAGACCAAGCAGGTGAGCCCCTTTCCTAAATTAACTCTCCTGATGTGTGCCTTAATGAATGATGTGTGAACTGTACATACAGTAGTGTATGCCTGCTAACACAAGTTAATTGCTTAAGCCAGGTATTAGGATACAGTAAACAACCAAACAAAAAAACAACAAACTGCAAAGTCTTTCAAAAACAAAGCAGGTCCTTCTCTCCTCCAAAAAAATTTGAAAGTATTTTAAGAATATCATCAAGAAACGTATGTTGTAGTTACACTAGTATCCCTTTATATCATTAATATCGTTCAATTATTTTTTTTTCTGTCCCTGATGCTGTACTGTTCTGAATAAGAGAAGTTGAGAAGCAGGTGTAAAAACTTTCTACTCCTCAACTGCAATCTCCTGCAACCTTGCCTTTGTAGCTAGACTCTGTGTATTTACTACAGCTGGCAAGTGTGGTAGGTCTAATGGATTCAGTGTTTGATAGTGACACAATTAATGGCCACTTAAAGGTAAGAAAGTCTAAATAAAATGTTTCTGAACTACATTGATGCAAGTGAGCAAAGGCTCAAATGACCAATAACAATTTGTAGCAGTCTCACTAATGGCTGCAGTTTTCAAAGGCACTGGACATCTCATTTTGTAAAGATGTACTGGAATGTTTTTTTACAAATAAGGTATCGCTTTAGTCCTACTGCAATAGATTAAGTCCTGTGGAACAAGTCAGGGATATATTTATAAAGCACACATGGACAGCCCTAACTTCTGAGCAGTAGAAACAGATTCTTCCACTTCCCAGTGAGTCTGTCAAATTCCTTTATAAGTGCATTTCTATCACAAACAAAAGTCTTATCCCCAACAGCAGGGCTGGACTTGTCAGTTAAGGACTTAATCTAAAGAACTGGCTACAGTCATGCTGAAATGAGTGGCAGAAGTCTAACCTCTATCTGAAGTGAGGCACTAAAGCAATGAACTATAGACAAAAGTTTTATTTTAAGGAAAAAGGGGTAAACTTAAAAAAATAATTTAGTCCAGTGAGTATTTTTTCTGCAAATATCAGGAACAGCTGTTAATACATGGCAGTAGGTTTTGTAGAGTCTTCTTACAAGAGAAAAGATGTTAGTTCAATGCCATGTTTGCTCATCAAAAAGAGAGGGAACATCATTTGAGTTTTGTTTCCACACAAACCTTGTTCAAAGCTGCTTGTTGCCCTTCCTCCTTTATATAAGGATATAGGTTACTAATACAAAAAAAAGCTCTCTGTGCTACAGGAAACTCTTGTCTTCAGATGTAAGTTGTAGAGGGATGCCAACAAAGAGGGACTGCTGCAAAGTATATTTTACAAATCTTCTGGCTGTTGACCTTCATGCTCCAACATCAGAGGTTACGGCTGGGTATTTGTAGCAGTACAGTTTGTTGTCTGCACCACCACTCAGGAGCAACTGAGAGGAGAAACAAACTGTGATTAGTAACAAAACTAAGCAGAATACCCGATTTTTCCAGTTTCCTTTGAAGAGCTAAATGAGAAGGGAATGAACAATGAACTTGAACATATATCCAAAACCCAGACCCAAAGAGCAGAAAAAGTAGAAAAAAGCGAATTTCTGTGGGAAAATTTCAGAAGCTTTTCCTGCCTTTCCCCATTTCCTGAGAACCTAAATGTTAACAGAATTGTTTCTCCCCTTTTACACATCTGTGTTTCTCACTACAGTAACAGAACAGGTCACTTGGCAGTACATGTTGAAGGGGGAACTGTAATGACCCAGCTGTTGGTACATGGTCCCTCTTTGCTCCCCATTGGAGCAAACAGTACCTTAAAATACACATATTTCTCATTAGGGTATTCTGCTGTTCTCACATCCTTCCCTGCTTGGAATGTTGGTGTAATGTCCAATTAATGCCATGGAACTTAAACCTCCATCATCCTTCATAGTGTGATAACGTGGGAAGTACTGCAATGTGCAGCATGGTAACTCCTTCTCTTTTACCCAGTATCAAAGCACGTAAAAACTTCCTGCTCTCTTCCACATTTAACCATAAAGGAAAGATGCTTTGTAGCTGCTGTAGGCCTCTTCCTAACCACTCTGCATGTAACTGAGCATCTTGCCCCTGAGGTTCTTACCCCTGCTTCTGTCCAGTCCACACACAAAACCTTGTCTTCATGGGCAGCCAAGTCGTACAGAGGAGCTTTGCAACTGGTAAAACAAAGACATTTACTGTCACACAGCTGAAGTTATGTGAGCAGTTACTGTATGCAAGAGTGATCCCAGGAAGAAACATTGGCAGGATACTATCAAACAGATGTGGTCTAACAGTTATAGATGCCTTCACACAGGACAGATATCCACCATCTTTGTGTTTTTATTGCTTTTTCCAGAGCTCATCATGTCAGTTTTAACATCTACAACCCCAAAAGAAAAAGTGGCAATATTTTTTCACCTTCTTGCACATGATTTTAATGGGATCAAGGGTAAAGAGTTTGTGGGTTTTTTTGTTTTGTTTTTGATTTGTTATACATTTTTCTCCTATTTGGATACAGCTTGACAGTGTATTCTCCAGACAAAGCACTTACCTCTTACAAATCCAATCTCATTCTCTCCTTAGAGATTTGTCATGAAAGCTCTGAAAAGGGTAGCAAGTAAAACTTCACACTATTAAGCTCATTCTTTAGAAACAGAATATGTTTTGCCTCTCCTGTTCTTAATCCCAGTAGCAATGTTATCATCACTGTCTTTTGCATTTCAATCACTGCTGTTTTTAATGATGGGTAAGTCTTGTGCTGGACCATCACACAGCTCTCAAAGTTGTTAAGCTATTGTTAGTCTGGTAGGCACAAGTATTTTTCTCCCATTCCTAATGTGCTTGACCCCTAAATGCTAAAGGATTTTCACAAACACTGAGGCTGTTCTTTCTCATTTCTTTCTCTCTGTTTACTTTTCAGGCTGTTTTTCCTGTTTCACTAGGTTAGATGACTCTACAAGCTCACATGCCTTTAAACAGCAGAGAATGCATGTTTGTTTTACCTCCTTGTGTCCCAGAGCTTCACGATGTTGTCCAGAGAACCTGAAATCAGCTGGTGCTCATGGGTGGGGGACCACTTCACAGCTGTCACCCAGCCTGTGTGAGAGGTCAGGGATAGGAGGACCAAGGAGCCATCTGGACAGAAGAAGAAAAACACCACTCAGCAGATGCCACCTGAAGCATTGCCTTTCAAGAGGCATATAAAATCGAGTGAGAAAAAGCTGTAAGAACCACACTTGGGGGTTCCAGGTAAGAGTTTCTTCCCCATTATTCTGTAATTCTAATTTCAAAAAACGAAAGTATATTGCCATACAAGTTCTGGTAAAAGGAAAAAAAAACCTGCCCTACTAAACTCTCTTCACATTTTTTTTTCCCCTGTGAAGAGGAGGGACTGGGAGGGGAAGCTTGAAGACAATGCTCTTAAACCCTCAATCAAATTTATAGAAGCTCAACAAGTAAAAATGTATGAAATAAATCTGGTAGGCTCAGTCATAAGGGTATAGCCACCTTGCCAGACATGGCAGCATTACATGAGAACAAATTGGTTACTATTTCACTCCAATGATCATCCTCCCAATTTAAACTTAGCTGTGACAGCCAGCTCACCAACATAAAACCAAACCAAATCAAACAAGCAAAGTTTTTAGGTATGTAACTTCACAACTGAACATTTATTTGTAAGTTAAAAAAAAATACAGAATGTTCAATTGTGCCAAATTCATTTTCCATATTGTTAGGTAAGAAATTGAAAGAGTCTTGCATCAGATGAAGGAAAATAAAAATAATCTTTATATTACATAAAAGCTCCCATATGGCACCAGAAAACAGTCTGTGAGATTGTCTTCCACCAAGGAGAAGTTCCAATTCTGAAGGAACAAGTGTGTGCACGTGCCTGGGTCAGCTCACCTTTGCTGCGAGGATCCCACAGTCTAATATGTCTGTCAGTGCTCCCAGACGCCAAGCGTCGACACAGCGGGGAGTAGGAGACAGAATTAAACACCTTGTTTCCTGTCTGTCAAAAAAGAAAGAAAAAGGAGTAACTCAAAGGAGCTCCTGTCTTTGGTTCTGTGCAACTTCTTCCTTTAATCTGGACTTCAGTTGCACCTACTGACACAACACTTTAAGCTGCATATGGTGGTCTCACCAAAGTTGATTTGACACCTCCTGTCTCAGCATCCCACAGTTTGATGGTGTGGTCCCAGGATGCGCTGCAGATTTCTTCAGCATCTGACCACAGCACAGAAGAGATGGCTTCTGTGTGGCCAGACAGGGTTGTGAGGGGGGTCTACAATTCAAGGGTGAAAAGAAACTAGAATGAGCATCACAGACTAAGCTATTGTTTCAACAAAAAATCATGTGTGGTCAGCCCCAGACATATCACCAGATATATTCCATATATATTCCATTCCATATTCCATTTTTAACAAAGTGAAATTATTTTACATGGCCACAGTTTTAAAATGAAATTGTGGGCAAATCTGGATGGCATTTTACCCTTGTGAGTCCCAACTGTTCAGTTTTCTGCTTTTTCCGTGGTCTGTTAGCTGCCTCTTCCATTTCATCCTCTTCATCTGTAGGTACTACGACAGAAGACAAATTCTGTTTATAGACTTTTGAAATAGATTTTCGTATGATAAAACATATGAAATAGATACAAACTACTGAGTGTTCTGAGTAACGTAAATGGCAGCAGGCAATTGTCAACCATATCTAAAAACTGTGTTTGCAAACAAAAAACAGAACTTAAAATAGTGATATATAGTTTTGCAAAGCTACTGCAAAAAATTGTTGTAGCTTGCCTTCAGTATTATTACATATGCCTGCTTTCCTTAAAGACAAAAATATTCTAATATCCATCATTATCATATGCACCACTTTGAAATTCTACAAAGCCAAGAATCCCAGTTTACACTTATCTTACCTGCAGACCAGATCTTTAACATCTTATCCCAAGATCCACTGCAGAACTGTACGAATAGAAACGTTTTGTTAAAAGTTGATCAAGAAAGAACTTTTAAGCTGTACCACGCAGCATCCACATGCTGCTTGAAAAAGCAGCCAATGCTTTATAACACATGAACAACAGCACCAGAATCTCTGAAAACAGATTTTTGGTATATATTTTTTTCCCTGGGGGGAAAAAAAAAAATGTATATATTTTTTTCCTTTGGGGGGAAAAAAAAAAAAGTCTACAAAAAAAAGACCTCTTCATTTCCTTCTGCCCCAGAAGGTTTTATTTTAACCTGTCTGACAGAGTCGAGCACAGAAGGGTGACTCCACCCTCAGTATGTATGCACTTACTGTTAAATTCACGGATGAAAGGAAAGAAACTCTTCTGCCACTTCACGTGAGGTTTCCTTTCACATCCGATACTATTGTGGGAATTTAGGGCTAATTTGAAAAGAGTCCATTGCAACCCACACTCAAATTTGCTCACAGAAGTCAAAAGCAAATCTTTTACAATGCTCTGTGCCGTGTAAAGTCACACTCAGCTTTTTGCAGTACTGGAGGTACAGTATTTGAAAAGATGACCTTGTGTTGATGCAACACCTGTAATCCTTATTAACCATCATTTATAACAAGACTGGAAGTCTTAGTGACCAAAACAGGGTTTCTGAGATACAGGCTGTTAATATCCCCAGATATGGAGATCGCTCTCTGCGAGTCACTCACTCTAGTTCTTGTGCAGTCAACTGCTATGGAGTCCACGCTGCCAGCATGGCCCCTGCAGCAGTGCAGGGCTTTCACTTTGTTTCTCTCCACATTCCACTCCCAGAGCAGGATAGTTTGGTCCATAGAAGCACTGAGTAACAGGCATGATAAGCTGTCTGAGAAAGAAAGAAGTCGCGCTCACACTCAGCTCCACTTCCCAGAGCCTTTCTACTAATTATTCCAGTCAAAGAATAAATAAGAGGTACACTTCTCATTTGCATCATATTACCCTGCAAATGCAATGAATGTAAATATGTGTAAGAACAGCTGCTAATGAAGTCTGCTTAGAGACAGGGTGCATGCATGTTAAACAGTTAATGCATGTTAAACATGTTAAACAGGCTCCAACATGTCAAGGGACCTTTCTTTAGGTGCAGTTATATCTGACAGGCTTATTGTTCTGACATGCTTAATCATAACACTTGGGTTATTGAATATTCTTTGGTTGCGGAAAAATGATGTTTCTCTGTCAATGAATCAAACTGTTATTAGTCCACAGTGAGATATACTGACCTTGTTTTACCCATGCCACGTCCTTCACTACGTCCGTGTGACCAGCTATTGTCATAATGGATTTGCCTTCCAAAGACCAGATCCGAGCAGTCTGGTCGTAGGAGCCAGTTAATATCCTACAGGGTACAGAAATTGAAACATTCTTGTCCTTAAAACAGAAGTTTTATGAAAAAAACAAACTTGTATATCAGCGGCTTAGGTAAACATTAGCGTAGTGACTGGTGAGCTGAAATGAACTACTGAATACTTTGTGTAAAAATTGAGTTGTGGAAAGTAAATGAAGTTTTGTTACAGAGCTAGTCTTCGAGAAAGTCTACAACTGCAATGCTAGGAGTAAAGGGAAAAAGAAAAACCAGTGAAAGAAGAGTACTATGTCTGCTGGTAGGTAACGCTGATCTTGTAAGATCTCATGTTATTTAAAATGAAAGACTGATATGATGATGAAAGACTGTGAGCAATAACTTATTGCTCACAACACAGTTCTAAAGGATCTCAAAGCATTTTCAAACCATTACATAGCAGAGGAAAGTTGCCTACCTGAGTGGACAATAAATTTGGAATTACAGTAGAAAATGCCAATTAAAAGTATTGTTTTTGTTTGTTTTTAAAGAGCTCTGCAGCACGAAAGCTCTGCAGATATATTTGCTGCTACGTGGCTGTCACTTTTGAAGTAAAAAGTTTGCTTAAGGAAACTGGAAAGAAGGAAGCCATCACTGTCCTTTGAGAGACAGGATGGGGAGCAGCACTGATCTCACACGTTTGTATCAGAGCTATATCACCTCCTGTGACCCTCGTTATTCTTCACTTGTGTTAACGTCAGCACAGGACAGAGATCTTTAAGGTGAGCTGCTTTCCAAAGCACTGGTTCTGCTCAGGCCAGAACAAAACCAGAAAAGGATGAAGAAGATCGTTAGGGAGAAGGATGACTCCTCGTGACACCGGAGCCCTCCGCTTCGCACGGGGCTGAGCAAGGCCCGCGGGGCCGTGCGGTACCATTCCTCGGCGGCCTGCACGGCGCTGATCCAGTCGTCGTGGAAGATGCACTCCTGGGGCTGAGGCGCCAGGTACTTCTGCACGTACTCGATTTCCACCACTTCTTCCTGGGCGCACGGACAAAACGCGTGTTTAGTGCAGCTGCATAACACAGCGAGAGCCGCTTGCAGTGCGACGCGGGGGCACGGGGCTGGCAGGGCGCCCAGCGGGCCGCGCCGCACTCACCGTCGGGATGTTCTCGGCCTCCATGTGAGTAGC